GGGAATGTACCGCGTCCACGGTCCGACTTTGGAAATAATTATGCATACAATGGACTCAGGACAAGGTGGGTTCCTCTAAGTCTTCCTACCAACATGACCAAGTTGCAAGAACAACGTCAAACAACTTCTGTACAACGAAAGGAAATTAAATAATTAAATGATTAAATAATTAAGTAATTAAATATTTAAATACTTCTATAATTCCACACTTGAGCAAGTAATTGTCGTGTCTTTTTGTCATCATGTCAGAGAGCCTCCGTGACATCTCATCGGCTATACTCTGGAGTTTCTTAGAATCTTTCAGAGTTAGACTCCTGGCCAGATCCCGACGGAGCTTTGACTTAATATCCATAAACTTAAGCAGCTTATAGAAGTGGGTTGACCTCATTGTCGCAACTTGGTCTTGTTGTCAAGGCGACTTAGTAGAACCCACCTAGTCCGAAGTCGTCTGCCAAAGTAGTTGTCATCATTCCCAGCATCTGACAGTGGACTTGGTACATTCTCAAACGTTTCGCCGGCATCGTCGGTGAGCTTTGCCATTCTCCGCCATTCTCTGCGACCATACCAGAAGCCACAACATCTTTGTCTTCATATCTTCAATTAAGCAGCTTATTGCTTTAGATGTGATTGGTTTCATTTAACTTCTGAATGAAGGCCCGGTGCGTGATCTCATTAACCCTTTCTGAATGGTAGTTTTAGTGGAACATAATTCAGTTGTGATACCATAACATTTACAACAGTTTAAAAAGATCACATGACATGTTCAACTTACAATTGTCTTCCATATCCGCAAAACCAAGATGCTGTGGCATCTATTTTGGTCGCAGTCTCCTTTCGATGCAAACAATTGGTCTGACCTCGTTTTCGCAACTTGGTAGCGTTGTCAGAGCAACACAGTTGGACGCAGCCCGTCCGAAGTTTTCATAATTGCCAGCATCATACCGTGGACTTGCTGCATTCCCAGACGTCTCCCTGGCACCGTCAGTGAATGAGGTCAGTCTATTTCTATAAATCCAGAGGAGACTACGATCAAACTGGACGCCACAATATCTTCTTCTTCATTTCTACGACTAATTTACATTTTGTGTAATGAGATATATTCACCCAATTTCGTTTAAGGTGATGAAGGACTGGTAGAAGAAGAATTTTCCCACAATCATATGAGTTGAGCTCATATTACTGATTTACTGTTAGTCTCGAAAATCCACTCCAATACGAATATGAGTAACGTAATCAATTGCTATAGCTAATATACGTTTGCTTTATTGACAACTGCACCAACTTTTGGGAAAGCAAGGCCATGTGAAATTGAATGAAAACGTCAGCTCAACTCATATCATTGTGGGACAATTCTTCTTCTGCCAGTCCCTCATCACCTTCAACGAAATTGGGTGAGTGCATGTCATAAAACTGATTTACTGGTAATCTTGAAACCCTTCTCCAATACAAATATATTTTCACTTGCACCGTTTAGCACACGATTGATCAAAGGATCGACTTGACTTGTCGCTTGACGAGTTGTGGTGTGCGCCTAAGAATGACAAGGTTCGCAGAGAATGCCGATGAAACGTCTGGGAATGTACCAAGTCCATGGTCAAGCATAGAATTGCCTGCAAAAACAAGGTCAAACAATTTCTCGATATATTTTCGTTAATAAGCCGGCTTTTGAAACTACCATTTGATGATAAATTTGAGGCGTATGCACGACAGACAATCGGACAAGCAAACAAATGGGCAAGCGGACAAACGGACAAACGGACAAACGGACAAACGAACAAGCGGACAAATGAGCAAGCGGACAAAAAGACAAACGGACAAACAGACAAACGGACAAACGGACAAACGGACAAACGGACAAACGGACAAACGGACAAACGGACAAACGGACAAACGGACAAACGGATAAAAGGACAAACGGACAAGCGGATAAGCGGACATGGGCATTGCATATTACGCGGCATTGCTTGATCAGAAGCTATTCTCGTCCCGGCACGAGTGGACGGCAGGTTGGAGCATGCGCCAACTGCTGCAATGCTCCCCCTTCGGCGGGACGAGTCGCCTCGAAGTTGCTCAGAATGGGCCGACGCGTCGAGCGTGTCCGCGGCACTGGCACAGTTCGAGTCCGGCTGAGCGAGCTGTGAACTGGGCGCCAGTCGTGCCGGGACGAGAATGGCTCCGGCGACGGCAAGGCGGCGTGCAAGGCAACGAGACGGCAAAAGCCATTCGTCAGATTGTGCCAGCATTCCACAACCAGTCGCCCTTTCAGCTTGCACCAAATGGGCTCAATTCACCTCGTCTTGCCACTGCGACAACCTCGCCGAGACAACATCAAACCATTTTGACATCCACTTCGACAGCTGACATGGCGCGCACCAAAGTGGTGAGAAGAGAGCTTGAAAATGGAAAAAAGTGCCATCTCAACGAGGCCTGACTTGCCGTGCAAACCGAGGACCCATTTTTGTTCCGGTTCTTGTCAATCTGACTGACTGATGATGATACTTCTTACATTTATGGAAATTATGATAATTATGAGAGTGCTAATGAAATGAAATGAAAATAATTTCGATTGTGATTATAGTGATGATTATGATAGCGATGAATTTGATGATGCTGATCGGTGAGATCAGCCAACAAATCTCTCCCACATGCGTTTTCATGCAGAGTGAACGTTTCCGCAACGATGCAGTCTGAACAAGGTCATCGAAACTGGGCCACTTTTCACATGTTCAAGAGTGTACAGGACGATTGTGTAACGGGCGCGTCCTTGGCTTTTTCATAAATGGGCGCCAACTGGGGCAGACGCGACGTCATCTCGGCCCGCTCCAGCTGTACCCTCCGATGGACACTGGCGACGTCGTTTCGTCGACGTCGAACCGAACGATGACGGAGGGTGTGCGAGAAAGCACGACTCAACAACCCGAAAGAAACACGACAAGAGTCTGGCCAAATCGGACCCCT